ATAATGTGGAAGACGATGCCTGGCCGCCTTAAACAAGTTCCACAAGATTCAACGGAATGAGATAGAATGGATACGGGGCATTGTACTGACGGACAGTCTACACGTGTGATATCGAGAGAGACTCATGTTCTGAACCCTCTAGTAATAAGTTATAAGAAATATATATACTGGAAGTTATTTATGCGTGAGTCTGACCCATGTCCTCTATAGTAAATCAATTTTTAGAAAATTTGGCTTGCTTGTCAAAAATCAATTTTTAAAAAAATTTGGATTGTCAAAAATCAATTTTCATAGACTTTTAAAAATGTGGCTCAAAATTAAATAAAAATTATTTTGAAGCACAAACCACCTTTCAATATAAATTTTGAAAACTTTGAAATTTTATTGCATTTTTAGTTAAAAAAAAATTTAAGTACCAGGCTAGAACAAGTTGTACAGTAAAGGTTCAGACTATAAACCTCAAAATGGTGCACCGTACAGTACAACAAATGAATCAACTCCTTCTTGGCGCGGGGCTAATTTTGGCGTTAAATTATATTTTATAACTTACAAGGTCTGGATCTACATTCATATACTCGTGATGCCGTTCATGCTTGTCCTCACGTTTCAAGGTATCCTAGGTATTCATAATATATACTAGATATTCATGGATATTACATAGATATTCATAGAAATATATGCAAGATATTCATAGATATACCCTTGATATTTATAGATATATCCTAGATATTCATACACATATCCTAAATATTCATAGATATATATCCTAGATACTTATAGATATATCCTAGATATTCATAGAAATATACATCCTATATATTCATAGATATTACCTTGATATTTATAGATATATCCTAAATATTCGTAGATATATATGCTAGATAATCATAGATATACCCTAGATATTTATAGATATATCCTAAATATTCATAGACATATCCTAGATATTTATAGATATATATCATAGATATTCATCAATATATCTTAGAATTTATAGATATATACATACTATATATTCAAAGATGTTACTTAGATATTCATAAATATATACATCCTAGATATTCATACATGTATCCTAGATATTCAGAGATATATCCTAGATATGCATAGATATATCCTAGATATTCATAGATATATTCATCCTAGATATTCATGGATATTCATAGAAATATATCCTAGATATTCATAGATATACCCTAGATATTTATAGATATATCCTAGATATTCATAGATATATCCTAGATATATACATTCTAGATATTCATAGATATTCATAGACATTCAGAGATATTCAGAGATATTCAGAGATATATCCTAGATATAAAATTCGGTGATGGTGATGGACCAAACCTCTGTAGAGTAAAAAAGGTAGATGTTGTTCCACATTTATTGAAAATATATTTCGGTCAGGGTTGACCCTCGTCAGTTCTCGAGATTCTTTCTGTCACAAAGATTAAAAACAAACTGTCATAGATATATATCCTAGATATTCATAGATATATATCCTAGATATATATAGATATATCCTAGATATTCAAATATATATCCTATATATTCAAAGATATATCATAGATCTTCATAAACATTTTCTAGATATTAATGGATTAATGAATATATAGATTTACCCTAGATTATTAAATACATAGATACAACCTAGATTTTTATAGATTAATAAATATATAGATACATTCAGATATTCATAGACCAATAGTATATAGATTTTCCTAGATATTCATAGATTAAAAAATACATAGATATATCCTAGATATTCATTGATTAATAAATACATTGATATAACCTAGATATTAAAAAATTTATAATATATAGATTTATCCTATATATTCATAGATTAATAAATACAAAGATATTTCATAGATATTAATAGATTAATAAATACATAGATATAACCTAAATATTCATAGATTTATAAATACATGGACATAACCTAGATATTCATAGATTAACAAATACATAAATATATCCTAGATATTTAAAGACCAACACGTTAGTCAACATAGAGGGTTTCTCTGTTTGTATCCTAGATAAAGATCTATAAAGATCTAAATACGTCTTAATTAAAATTTAAGACAAATCGGGTTTATGAAATATCTGACTGATAGACAAAAAAACTGAGAAATAGAGATGACTACTTAATATATGTAGATATATTCTTATATATAAATATATAGGCAACAATACAGATTAATAGACATAAAAATATAGACATACCAGATATTTATAAAATATATATTCAGTGGATTATAAAAGCTTAATTTAGTAAAATCAAGTGCAAATTATAAACTAAACCAGAATATTGCAGTTTATTTCTAGATTCTGCTGCTTTTATAAAAAATAAAATAAGATGATATGTTATAAAAATTATATAATTGTAAAATAAATTCCAGATGATTTAAAAAATAGTCAATGTCGAATTTTAATATTTTTCTTTGATTTTTACATTTTCAGTCCAGAGTTATCCATAATAGATGTGACTTTAGAAATCATATAAAAACATTTCAAGGGACTGTAATTTAAAGTAATTTAAAGTGACCTTTCATGCAATGATGGCATTGCCCGATTCACAATGGTACTTTTAAAACCTTTATCTGATCAATAATATGGGAGATATTGAGTCTAATTCATACTTGACAAAGCTGTTAAGGAAAATTGAAAATAAACAGTTTTCAAAATTATATACATTAAATTCTAACTCAACTTGGCCAGACAAAACTTTGAAGTGTACAATTGTAAATCGGGCATTGACATCTTTGCAAGGGGGTCACTTAAAAATAGATTAAAGATCGGGAGGCCATTTAGGTTTAGGTTAAATTGGGCTTTTTTGCAGAATTATTTGCAAATTTAGATTGAAAGGAGGCAAATTCAGCACAGACTTTATCATTGCAATGAAGTGAAAAAGGCATAATTGTGCAACAAAAATTCGCCAAAATTTTAATGCCCAACTTAAATTTAAAGATTGTATTCAAAACTTTTTAAAAAAATTGTCTGAGGCTATGAAAAAAAAATTCTTACCCCTAAAAAGCTTGACGTCTCCATTTTCTGACTTCTGATCCTAAAAATAAATCATAAAAAGTGAAAACTTGACAAACAATTTAAATGTCTAAAAAATTGCACAATAAATTGTCAAATGTCAACAAACTCAAGATGTCTTGAAAACTGAATAAATACTGAATTTGAAACACTAGGAAATTATTATGCTCGCTTATCTTCTGTTCCAAGTAAGAAGCAAAAACTTAATTCTTTTTTTTATAAAAGTTTTAAGTTTTACAACGTATAGATTTAAGGTTAGTTTTTTTTTAGCTTCAAAAACTAATTTTTATAGATTATTGTAAAACTATATGCGGACGTCGGGGGGGGGGGGAGTTAGGAGATAGATAAATGGTCAACAAATATAGTTTTAAAATGTCGGAACCTAAGTTTTATGTAACAATATTTTTAGTGGCTGAAACCTTAAAAGTAATAAAATAAAACAAGGTTTTGTCTCTCACGACAACAACAACCTTATGTTCAAATGCTAAAAATAAGTCTGCAAATATCTAATGTTAGCAATTGTTGAGTTTTTTTCGATCAAAATAATACATTTATATGGAAAAATCAAAACCTTTTATGTAAGCAATGGAAAATATACTTTTTCTATTTTAGACTGTTTGCAAACAGTAGCTTTTTTTCACAGTTTTTTCCATAACTGAACAATGGTTTACACTAGAAAACACTTTTTCAACTTTATGTAGTTGTGATCAAATTTGCAAATATGTCACGTTAAGGACGGGCTACAAAAGGGTGTTTTGGTGTTTTAAAAAATCCAAAAAGTCCAAAACTTTATTGTGAATTGAGCTACACATCTAAAACTTATTTACTTATAAAGACCTTGAAAAATAGATGTTATAACAATCTAATATTTGTCAAAATTAAAACATATATTTTTTGCATTTTTACAACGCACTTTTTCTAACTATTTAAAAATACTCGGTTTTACCCAAACCATTAAAGTAGGGGGTCTAATTATTTTTAAAGAACTGGAAGTTGTACTAAGAATATGTATTACACTCTCCTATCTTAAATTTAAGGGCCAATCTACGCTAGACAAAAATAGCCCGATCAGGATTGGGTTAACACACTTTTTCTAATACTAGGCTTTAAGGGCGCTTCGCGCTCATCTTCTATTTAAATTGTGAACATGTTCTTTTTGTTTACATTTTAAAACAAAGAAGAAAAAATTTCGCGGATTTTTAAGAATTTAAGTTTTTTTTACAAAATTAAAACCTTTAAAACACATTTTGTTTTATTTTTATCATACGTAAACCTTCCCTGTGGTCACGTGATGTCCCACACAAAATTTGGGCCCGATCGGTTCAGCCATTTTGACGTTTATTGGATACAAACAGACAAACAGACAGACAAGACAAATGTATATATAGATAAACTGTTCGCCTAAAACAGTTTTTTAATAATTATGTTGTTTTCAAAACTCACCCTAGATCCAAGGATAAACTTTCTCTTCCAACAGAGTTAACGATCTAAATCCAGCTTTTTAATTTTAAATTAATTATAATTTAACTTGACGTAATAATTAATGCATTTAAAGGGACTGTAAGAGTAACTTTTAGTGAACCCCGTCCCCATGTAAAGATGGCAATGCCTGGGAAAAATATACGAAATATCAGAAATTAAGACATGTCTTCTACACTATTCATCAGAAATGGTTTATGGTTCCTTTGTAAATGGACAATGTCATATTTGCAATTGTAATTATACTTACAGTCCCTCTACGTTCATACTTCCCTTCATATGCACAAAACAAAAATCTACAAGTTTATCAGGACTTGGTTGTTTCATTTTATGAAGAATAAAATCTAGTTCCGTGGAAACCAATGGTTTCTATGAAATTTGCATGATATAATATATTTTTATGATGTGAAAATACGATATTCTAATCTCTCCTAACTGCATGACTACCCACTCTGCGTGTGCATGATGATGATAATTTTAGATAAAAAGGTTTGCATATTACAATGTAAAATAGTCATCATTCATTTTGCTGAACAATACTGAATACTATAGAATTACAGGGAGACCCATAAAACTATGGAATAGGAAGACGATACTTGGTAATACGAGTATTTCATGATGTTATGTTTAGTTAGCAAATAGTTGCTTGAACCCCAACTTAATTTGTTAAATTGGTCTGTTTGCACAATTATTGTATTTCATGTTATTTGTATTTTTAAAGTAAAAAAGTCGTCTTCTCATTCCATTGTTGAACTGGCCTTCCTGTATAAGAAGAGAAATATATATCTTTAAATTATTTGTTTCATTTCTCAAAGAGACTGTATGCGTAATTACAAGTAACCTTCCATGCAGAAAAGGACATGCCAGATTCACAACGGGACCCAATAAACCTTTGCCGGGTCAAGAAGGACTGAAAATTCGGAATGTGTTCAGATAAAAATCGTGTAAAACATGTATTGTCCGCGGAAACATATACATAACTTCATATTTCAAACTCGTACTTTATTTAAATCTGTACAGCGTGAATTTGAGCGAAGAGCTAATCTAAGATTATAAAAGGATTAGAGAGTATTATAATTCTTATTTTACAGGGTTACCCACAAAAGGATAAGACTTCAGAGACGATTTTACGAAATTTGTTTAGTCCGTTTTCTTGCATTCAGGGTTCGTTGTAGGCCAAAACTGTCTTATTTTTGTGCTTCATCATTTGGTAAATACTCAATTAAATGCAGAAACCAAACATTAAGCTTCAAATTTTCATATTATATGGTTTGGGGTATTTTACAAGGGATAAAGTCAGCTTTCTGAAATATTGACATTATCCGTAAAATCCACGTGACGTGAACCACAATTTAAACCATATCGTCGCTTTCTGTCTAGTGGAAAAGAAGTGAATTTCTTCAATTTCCGCGCGTAAAGATATAGTCAATTTTTAGATAGAACAACAAGAATAAAGTCGTCACTTGGGCTCAGGCAGGGGTGTGAAAGGTACCATGTAAATCGAACTCTTTAAAGAGAGAGCCGCTTCAAATATACCCGATACTGGATTATCCATAAAGAACAGTACAAAGAAGATTCCAGAACTTGAATTTCATAATTATTTCTTAATTTATTGTAAAATAAACAAAAACTTAAAGGGAGTGTTCGCGAAAAATGAAAGGGGGTGGTATAGGCTTAATGCGATAAAAAAGCTCTTTTGATCGCTACTAATCTTACTTTTATCTGTTGCAAACCAAATTTTACAACGTAATGACTTTGTATTAAAAAGCTTCCTTTGGGTTTATATTAATTTGACTCCTGCTCAGATTTAGGTTTAGACTGTTCTTACTCCTGTTCTGTAATATGATACTTTCGTTCCTGTTTCCCGGATGGTTATTGTTTCCTGGGTAGTCACTGTTTCCTGGAAAGTTACTGTTTCCTGGGGAATGGCTGTTTCCGGCATAGGACAAAAAGTGATCAGGGAAACATAATTCGTTGCAACTTCCCTTAAAAAATATTTTCATTATTTTACGGTTATATTTCAAAATATATTAAAAAATATTTTCATTATTTTACGGTTTATGTCAAAATATATTTAAAAAATATAAAATCAGATTTTTTTTATAAGATCAAGATATAAAATAGACATTGTTTTCAAAAAAATTTCAAAAAATTGGATTTTTTAAAACAAAATAAATATACATTTATATATATATATATATATATATACTAACATGATTGATGATTGCATTAACATATCTAAACTAAAAGAAAATATTTTACGTAAAAGTGTTTTTAAAATTTCATAATCACACTTCTTAGGAATTTACAAAAAATGAACCTGAAAGTTGATTGAAGGAAGTATTGAGGGAGATTTGGTATACCCTGCCGGTGATCTAAAATATAAAAATACCGTTGATTAATAAGAAAGAGGGTTCGGTGATTTAGAATAAATAAATTTTAGTAATAAAGAATTTATAAATTTCGTTAATTTAGAATAAATCAAAGATTTAAAATTTACGTTAAAGGAATTGAGTTTTTGCCACAAACTGTACATATCCAGGTATTGTACAGTACACCTTAGATATATATATCAAATTTACAAATTTAAATATAAAAGGTCTGCGACTTCAGGTTGAAAAGATATAAAAATTAGAAAATCAGAGTTTGCAGTAAATACTCATTTCCTTTACGGTGAATTAAAAAATCAATAAAAATATGTTGGGTGTTTCTAAAATGGCTTTAAGGGTTGAGGAGCTAAGAATTTGTGCACATTGTTCACATAAAAAATGGGAAAGAATTCTTGTTTATAAAAAAATGCAAACACAATAATCCCCCTCCCACCGACCCTGACAAACTATATCTCTTTTTCTTACCCAAATTACAATTGCATGTTCTCCATATCTCTCTCTCTCTTTTAAATCTGAGAAAATTAGAACATTCTAAGCACGATCTTACAATGTGGTACTTTACTATTGATATGTATATTGTATACAAGAAACATCTGGGAGAACTATTAAAAGAAACGTGTTTTCTCATCTCCTCCCGTTCTAGACTAGTTTTTAAACCGATGAAAGATGATCTCAATATGTGTTTAAAAATTCCATAATTATAATTTAAAGAAAACTAGTTTAAGTTTGATGCAGGGTCACCCACAAAGGATGAGACTTAAAAGACGACTGTACGGAATTTGGCAATCTTTGCTATAAAACCAGGCAGAAGTTTCACGTCAAATCAAATTAAAGAATTTTTCGGGTTAACTTAACATTTTCAATCATAAGATTTTTTAATTGTTGACAAGAACAATTCTTTGAAAATATATTTTTGCTGTTCTGTTGCTTGTCGTACAATTATACTAATGTATTTATAAGAGGTCGCAAAGGACGGGAGAATTTTTGGTAACGTAAATTTGCTAAGGAGAATTTGGTAATGACAATTCGGTAAGTTGACAATTTGGTCACGACAATTTGGTCATGACATTTTGGTAACTTCAAAAAAGTGACAATTTGGTAATAACAATTTGATTGCTTCATAAAAATGACGATTTGGTATACTACATAAAGTGACAATTTTGTAACTAGAAAAAAGTGACAAACAAGCATATAATTACATAAAAAGACAATTTGGTGACTACATATGAGTATAAGTGACATTAACTCAGTGATGAGTAGATGAGAGTGAACTAGAACTATCTAAATGAGAATGAACTAGAACTATCTAGATGAGAGTGAACTAGAACTAGAACTATCTAGATGAGAGTGAACTAGAACTATCTAGATAAGAGTGAACTAGAAATATCTAGATGAGAGTGAACATTAGACAACTACATAAAAGAGACAATTTCGTAAGTACAAAAAAGTTACAACAAGGGGCTCAGTAACTTTTAGTCTAAAGTAACTTTTAGTCTAAAGTAACTTTTGGTCTAACTTTGGTCTAATGTAACTTTGGTCTATTGTAACTTTGGTCTGAAGGTACTTTTATTCTAATGTAACATTTGTCTAGAGTAAAATTTTTTTTGAAAATCAAAGTTCTACGATATCAGTTTGCAAAGATATTAGAAAATTCAATTTTGTTGCTAGTTCGATCTAAGTTCCTTTATAGTCTAAGTAACTTTTCTTAACCTCTAGAACATTAATTGTCAAATGTCAAAATTAAAAAATGTCGAAATTAAAAAATGTCGAAATTACAAAATGTCGAAATTACAAAATGTTTAAATTACAAAATGTCAAAATTACAAAATGTCGAAATTACAAAATGTAGAAATTAAAAAATGTCGAAAGTACAAAATGTCGAAATTACAAAATGTATAAATTACAAAATGTCAAAATTACAAAATGTCGAAATTACAAAATGTATAAATTACAAAATGTCGAAAGTACAAAATGTAGAAATTACAAAATGTAGAAATTAAAAAATGTAGAAAGTACAAAATGTAGAAATTACAACATGTCGAAAGTACAAAATGTCGAAAGCTACATAATGTTGAATACTACAAAACATCAACTTCTAAGAAACGTAGATTACCAAAATGTTACGTTATGTCGGGTTAGGTCTGGTAAAGATAGTTTTTTGGGTAGAGCGCTGCGGCTAGGATGGACTACAGGGCCGAGCGCTGCGGCCTCTTAAATGTTGAATTATGTGATGTCTCCCACATTATTTTGGGTTAGTTTAGGTTAAGAAAATTTCTGGGTCGAGCGCTGCGACCTTTTGAATGTTGAATAATGTGCTGTCTCTCTCATTATTCGGTTTAGGTCAATTAAAGAAAATCTCTGGGCCGAGCGCTGCAGTTAGGATGCGGCCTCTTAAATGTTGAATAATGTTTTGTCTCTCATATTATTTTGGGTTGGTGGGGTTACTTCTGGGCTGCAGCTAGAACAGGCTATTACAGGGACAAGTTTAAGAAAACTGGTAATTAAGAAGCGTAAAATAATCAGCTAAATCAACATATAACATTTAAGAGGCCGCAGCGCTCGGCCCCCGAACCCATCCTAGCAGCAGCTCTAGGCACATAAATTGTCTGAACCTAAGCTAACCCAACATAATGTAATTAATTAATTATTGATAATTGCAAATATGTATACTTTTTATAAAAATTACCCAATTGTCATAAGATTGTCACTTTTATTACGTTACTAAACTGTCGTTACCAAATTGTCATTCCCAAATTAACACTTTTTTTAACTTACCAAATTGTCATTCCCAAATTGTCATTTCCAAACTTTCACTACCAAAATGACATTACCAAAAAACCGCCCAGGAATGTCACAAAAAGGAAAGTGTTATATATTATATTATATTATATATATATCTTTGGATATAAAGCATCCATAACTCATAATGTACGTCTTGCAACGAACTCTGATTATATATATATATATATCTTTGAAATCCGGTGTCGTAGATATTTACTTTTTCAAGCTTTGAATTATGTAAGATGAAAAAGTCTAAGTTTAAAATATCAAAGGTTTGCACCATCAGGATACAATGAACTAGGAATTTGAATATTTGAGTTTGTGGCAAGGACTCAGTTCTTTTTTTAAAAGTTTTGCATTTAAATTTAAATTGCACTTTTTGCTCTGCATATTGTGGGTTAGCAAGAAACATTATTTAGGCAATAGACATAAAATTGGTTTAATTTATATAAATATATATATATATATAAATATAATAAAGATTAAATTATATATAAGAAAATATTTTGTGCTCTGCAAATATTATTAATATAATTTTTATCTAAACAAAACTGTTTATTGACTTATAATGTAACCAAGACAAGTCTGCAGATGCTAGAACTAGATTTATCAAAATAAACAATGATGTGAGATGAAAAAAGAGATATTTTCAACATAGTTTTAAAGGGCATGACTAAAATTTTTTAGATTAATTTGAGACACATAAAAATTTTGTTTTAAATATTTTTTTAAATTATTAAACAACGATCGAAGAAAAATATAGTAAAATTCTACAGTGAACTAATTAAATGTTTAGGAACATATTTCTCAAAAGAAATTTTCTCAATAAATCAATGTTAGAATCAATTATTTCTTTTCCATCATTATATTGAATTTTTATTCTTTACGAATTTGTTCACAGATTTTTACAAATTCTTCAAATGTCATCTTTTCAATAAAAATTCAAGAAATTCTACAGAAAATGTTTGAGACCAACGAGAGATTACAGAAATTCTAATAACCGAAAATAAGATTACTTATTTTTGATGTTAACAGTTAATTTTTATTTTCTCAACCTGTTCCTAAACAACTTATTAGTGTACTGTAGAATTTTTGTTACTTTTTATGTCGTCAGTATTTAATAATTTTTTTAAAATCGATGCTCAAAACGTTACCACCCAAATGAATGATTTTGAAAGTCGGCTTTGCGCTCAAACTCAGTAATTATACATCATTAAAACGTTTTATAAGTCTCAAATGATTCCTGAAAATTTCTCCACAATACTACATTCTCAGTTCAACTACCACACATTGCCAGTCACTCCCTTTAAAACGAAATTTACGTCGCTTTTTTCTGCAAATAAAGTAAACTCTGTCAATTTCCTTTCTTGTATTTGCTGTAAACGCCGCACGCCTTTTTAATTGGACAGATATCCCTTAAAAACAGAAAAAGGTACCAATGTAAATCGGCAATGTATCTCATTAAGGAGAGAGTGACATGACAGTTCCAATTAGAAAAAGCAATAGCATGATCAAATACATTTGAGAACTGCAAAAAAAAAAATTTGGACAATACATTTCAGTTTAAAGGAATTGAGTCATTGTCACAAACTTGGATTTTCTAATTCCTATCTTTGCAAAGCAATGTCGTATACCTAAGATATTTTAGATTGTGAATTCTGGCAAATCAAATTATTTTAGTTTGTTATGATATGTTGCAAAGATATAGGGATTCGAAAATTAGATTTTGTGGCAAAGACTCGATTAATTTGTCATTTATTCGATTTATTTTCTTTTAGGATGGAGCATATGATCATACAAAATGGTGAAATTTATAAATCAAGATTCAATGTTGATACGTGTTAAATGAAGAAACTTATAAATATTGGACAGCAAAAGGCACCTTTTCTTATTCTCTTTGATTCTTTAGTCCTAAAAATATAATTAATTCATTAAATTAAATTAAAAATTAAATTTATTAATTAAATTTAAAAAATTGAATTAATTAAAATCATTTATTTTCCCAAATTCAGTAAATAAAATCTACTAAACTCTGATTTGTGAGTTTTCAATTTCTTTCACATTTTTACAAAAACATAATTTAAACATGATACTTAAGTTTGGTGTGCAATTATGATAAAGATCCAGTAAGCATGGCTGTATGGTTCTCCGTGAAAAAGAATGAAACCGTAGTGAACTTGTTAATTTTGTTGCATCCCTCCCCCCTCCGTCTTATTCTTCCCCCGCCCCTCGGAAAACAAAGCCACCCTCCCCCCCCGCCCTACATTTTGACACCGAATAGCGTAAGGAAGGTCAATGCCTGCCTAGGTACAAATATAAGACTGCTCTTATATCATCTTTTATCTTCATTTCAAAATAAACTGTTTATATCTTGAATTAGAACAAGAAATCCCATTTGTAGGATTTGGGTTTCAAGTTCCAAAACAAAAGTGAGAAAAAGAAAGCAAAAATGAGCGGTTTTTCATATTTTTGATTCCGGCCTTGTTGATAAAAGATTTCAACTCAACCCCTTGTAAATCCATATAATAAAGCTCTTAGCTCATATAGATATATTATATAAATATATGAGCTATAGCTGGCAAGTGCTAAAAATGACCGCGATTTTCTTAAATGCATAATTTAGCCCCGAAAATGTTGGAATTCCGCAATCGAAAACTGAAAAATCTGCAAATTTTTTTTTGAAAATGTGCTTAAGCCTTGCAGATGGATCATGAATAAAAAGCTATGATTATTACTAAAAGCTGACGTGTATAACCAAGTTGATAAATCAATGTGCAAAGTATGGAACTGGTTTTATAATATATTCAATATATTTAATATACCTTGTTATTTTTTCTCATTATCGATCATAAAAACTTAATCTGACAAAATGGTCACTAGCGTCCTATCAACTAATTTATCTTAAGCCTATATTATTAGCTTGCACTTAATATATTTAAGGTGAAGGGCGAATTGAAATTTTAAGAGGTTTGAATTTCCCTGTAAACTCTGTCCGAAAAGCTTGTTAAAACAGAAACAATATCACTAAGTGAATAAAATTTATTTGTTGTCATCATCAAGAAAAAATTAATTAAACCTAACAAGATGTGTCATGCAAATCTAGTTTGCATGACAAATTCAAAATTTGCTTTAAACTTTTTTTAAAATGGCAGCATCAGGATCCAAGTTCACAAAATACAAAATATTAAATAATAACAATATGCGGGGCTTAAATTTAATACCTTTGGTTTCTCCCTCTCTGGTCTATACTGTTAGTCGCCGAAGACTAAATAAGTTTAGTGGATTTTCTTGCCACAGAAAATCCGTGAAACTAGTTTAAATCTATCTATCTATCTTCGCTGGAAATATATCTGCCTATCACCAATATTATCTATCTATCTATATCTATACCTAGACAACCTGGCACTCAAACCAAATATTTCAATTTTTAACACTTAGAAATCAAAAAAGCTTTACACCGCCAAACAGTGTGCGTCACAATGTTCATAAAAACAAAAATAGGCTGAAATCACCCCTCCCCCACCTCCGCATCCCTCCCCCCCCATCTTCACTCGTTTTCTAATCAATTAATAATACATTCCCCCCCCTCCCCCTCCATAGAAAAATCCAGTTTAAGGCAGTTAGGTAGTACAGAATGAATGACAGATGAAATGCAATTTTAAAAAGTCGTACTTTAAAAAAGATTTTCATTTGTGAATGTCCTGTAAATTAATATGCAAATATACATACCAGATATTGCAAATAATTTTTTTTGGAGAAAAGTGTAATTTTAAGATCTTATTGTGTGCATACAGCATAGAAACAGGAAAGCCAAGAATTCATCAACCAATTTTGTTTTGGTATTATTTTTTTTTATATTTGAACAAAAAATGTTTTCCTTTTCATAAATACTAGTAACAATTTTAGCTTTTAACTGTTTCTTTTGACTGTCGCCATTTTATCAATATCTCCAATAAAAACTAATTTTCCCGAATTTTTCCTATTAAATTCTTGGATTTCAATAATGACCTATATGAAGACTATTTTTCAAGACAACATTTTTGATTTTTATGGTCAACAAGCCAAATATATATATTTATGTATTGAATCGAAGGTTTTATCTTCTAAAAGTTTAAAACAGATGCGTTTCAAAATTTTGTTCTAAAATTCTTAAACAGTTTGACAGCCCTGGAATTTAATGCATCTGTGAAATGCAATATTAAAAAAAAATGGTTTACGTAAATTTGATTTCGTTTTTCCTCAGCAATAATATTCACGAATACAAAAATGGTTGCAATCTTTGAATAGATTCAGGATTCAGCCAAAGGAATTGAGTTTTTGCCACAAACTCTGATTTTCTAACCCCTATATCTTTGCGACCCGATGTCGTAGATCTTAGATATTTCAAACTATGAATTTTTTGATCAAATGGTCGTAGTTTGAAATATCAACGGTTTACACCATCGGGTTGCAAGGATATATGGATAAGAAAATTTGAATTTATGGCTAAAACTAAATTCATTTATGGAAGAAGTAAAGTTGATTTAAAAAGATGGATTAGGTATAGATCAGTAAAAACTTAAACATGGATATATTTAAATTTGAATACAACTAAAAATAATTGACGAGAATAAAAATACATATAAAACTCCATAAACGGAATTTTTAGCGTAATTTAAAATGAGCCTCTATTCAAAGATAACATTGCCCGATTTACAACGTTATCCTTTAAACCTTTATCTGATCAAACATGTGGAAGATAACGTGTTTTTCTGGCTCGAAAAGTGTTAATTTCTATGAATTTCTCTATTGTTTCTTATAAGCAAGAAAAGCGCAAGACACTTTTGCAGAGAACCCATGAATGAAAATAAATAGTCTAAATAAACGAAATCATGGATATCTAATTCATACTTGATCAGACAAAGCTTTTAAGCCACCGCATTGAAAATCGGGCATTTTCATCTTTGCACGGATCGGAGGGTCACCTGAAGTTTCGCTTACTGTCCCTTTAAGAGCGTAGTTACTGCACATTATACATGCGTATATTATATATTGCTTGTGAACCCAGCTTTGTCAGGAAACTAAAATTTCTTCACATTCACACTCAGAACATTCCTGTGCCTTAATTGAGTTCCTCTATCAAAAATTTTGGCAAATCGGTCAAGTGGTTCATGAGTTATGATCGAACATACAAACCAAGGATGTAATGCAAGGAAAGTTATTTCAAAAGTGTACACATCTTTTGTACTGCAGTGTACTGTCTCTGGGCGGTAATGTAAACACAAGACGGATGTCGAAGCCTGACATGGGATCCATCTTTCACATAAAAAAATCAATGAAATATTCTGGTCATAGGGAACTATTATGTGAATAATCAAAATTATCAAAATTTAATGCTTTTAAAGGGACTGTAAAGGAAAAATGAAAGGGGGTATAGGCTGAAAGCTAATCACTTTAACTCTCGATCGCGACCCATGAAAGTTATATCTAGACAACTCGATAACTAGACAACTAGATAACTAGACAACTAGATAACTAGACAACTAGATAAAAAGATAACTAGATGGTAGGGTTGGGTTTGTAATGGTCGGGTTGGGTTTGGAATGGTCGGGTTGGGTTTGGAATGGTCGGGTTGGGTTAGAATTGGCTGGGTTGGGTTTAAAATGTTCAGTTGGGTTTAAATGGCTGGGTTGGTATATCGAGATAGTTGGATCGGGTTTGGAATGGACGAGTTTGATTTGAAATGATTGGGTTTGGTTTGGAATAATTTGGTTGAGTTGATTGCACAACTGGAAGTGTGCTATGAGTTGGTTTGGTTCAATATGGTTTGGTTAAGCCAGGTTAACGAGTTCTCTGGAAATTACCTGGATTTTGAGAAATAGTTTCACAAACGTGAAAATTACAGTGTTGGTAGGAAACAAGATTAAATACTAAACAGAAGCAAAAATATCAGATTCGGTTAGAAAACAGAGATAAAATGCATGCTCACACAATACAGACGAGAGATTTACAGTTTTGGTAACAAAACAAAACAAAATCATTACAGACGGTCACTATCTATTTTTAGGCATCTAAGCATCAATATCGTCGTTTATCTATCTGGGGAAAAAGTTGAATGCTAACCTTGCATCTTCTTTCTCTTACTTCTTTTGAATAAATCCGCTGGTCATTTATAAATAGAAACACACTTTAAAATAAAAAAGAAGGAAAACATCATCATTTTTGCTGAGACAAATGTTTAAAGTGTGGATTTGTAAGACTCACATATATTACTATGGATGAAAGGTCACTTAAAATTACGTCAACAGTCCTTTTAACAACTAAGACTTTCTCCCACTATTGACTCTCTCAAAAACATCACTCAAACAAGGGTATACGGTACACCATATACATCACTCAAACAAGGGTATACAGTACACCTTATACATCACTCAAACAAGGGGTATACGTTACAACATATACATCACTCAAACAAGGGTATACGGTACACCATATACATCACTCAAACAAGGGTATACGGTACACCATATACATCACTCAAATAAGGGTATACGGTACACCATATACATCACTCAAACAAGGGGTATATGGTACACCATATACATCACTCAAACAAGGGTATACAGTACACCATACACATCACTCAAACAAGGGTATGCGAATGCGGTACACCATATACATCACTCAAACAAGGGTATACGGTACACCATATACATCACTCAAAAAAGGGTATACGGTACACCATATACATCACTCAAACAATGGTATACGGTACACCATATACATCACTTAAACAAGGGTGTATACAATACACCATATACATCACACAAACAAGTGTATACGGTACACCATAAATATCATCTAAACAAGGGTATATATGATATACCATGTACAATTTTCACCTAAACTCTTTCAATTGGTTATTCAATTTTTTTCTTGAATTTTTAATATTATTTTAACACATTTTAAAGTAATAACGACAAAGAAATTTAGTGCTCGGACAAGCCAATACATTTAATAAAAAGACAACAACTGCAAAACCAACGATTACATAACATGTTACCCTGTAAACCACAATAAATTTTATTAGAAAATTCTTGAAAAGAAATAATTTTTTTTTAAATTTTAAAATATATATTTCTGTAATTGGATCAGTTCCTTTTTAAGAGGATCAGATTCCTCATTATTCGGTAATTATGGATCAGATTCCTCATTATCCCGTAATTATGGATCAGATTCCTCGTTATCCCGTAATTATGGATCAGATTCCTCGTTATCCCGTAATTATGGATCAAAAACGATTTATTCCAAAACATTTTTTGAAGTTCAGACAAATATGAATTTATTTGACTGAATTCAGAAAATTGGAGTCATTGTTAATAGTGCATGATAGAGCGCATTCAATCTAAGGGGATTTTCAAAATAATTATTTAAAAAACAATCTTACAACTTGAGGGTAGGATTGTAAATATTTTTTTAAACGAAAGGAAAAATTAATCATTTTACTTTTCGTTTTTGATATTTTTTAAACCAACGAACCTTCGTTTTTAGACAACGATCGTTAATGATCGATAAAAACCAAAAATGTTTTGTTTCGTTTTTTCACTTTTTTACGACTTTAACGAAACGATAGCTGTTCGTTTTTCAGAAAAGAGAAAACGATCCAACCCTACTATAGGAAAATCTAAAAAAGCCTAGAAAGCTTCGATACTTTCTATTAAATTAACCATTGTTTGTTTTTTTGCGAGGAATCCTGGGTTTCTTGGACTTTTTTGAATATTTTTTTGGTTTTAAATATTGATCCAATTTAAAGGAATTGTAAGCATAATTTTAAGAAACGCATCTCCCTGTCAAGAGTGGTATACCCGATTCACGAGGGTACCTTTTAAACCTTATACTGTTAATCAAGAGAACTCTGTGTGTTTATCTCAAAAAATAGAGTTAAAATCGTCAAAACGTACAGAATAAAATCAACACAGTTTGACGTTCCATATACTTCGAAAATATCGATGTACTACGCGGTTTAAAAAATGTTCGATGAAATATAGATTAAAATATTGTTTATATTTCAAACAGGTTGCGAACAAAGAGTTCAACAATTACAAGGGACAGAAAAAGGAAAAGTTTATCATCTCTAATCAGTCAAGGGTTTAAAGAGAAATCTACAAATGAAGGATAAGTCAAGGGTTAAAAGAGAAATCTACAAATGAGGGATAAGTCAAGGGTTAAAAGAGAAATCTACAGTTGAAGAATAAAAGAGAAATCTATAACAGATGAAGGATCAGTCAGGGGTTAAAAGAGAAATCTACAAATGAAGGATAAGTCAAGGGTTAAAAGAGAAATCTACAAATGAAGAATAAGTCAAGGGTTAAAAGAGAAATCTACAAATGAAGGATATGTCAAGGGTTAAAAGAGAAATCTACAAATGAAGGATTAGTCAAGGGTTAGAAGAGAAATCTACAGATGAAGGATCAGTCAAGGGTTAAAAGAGAAATCTACAAATGAAGGATAAGTCAAGGGTTAAAAGTGAAATCTACAAATGAAGGATAAGTCAAGGGTTAAAAGAGAAATCTACAGTTGAAGAATAAGTCAAGGGTTAGAAGAGAAATCTACAGATGAAAGATTAGTCAAGGGTTAGAAGAGAAATCTACAGATGAAGGATAAGTCAAGGGTTAAAAGAGAAATCTACAGATGAAGGATTAGTCAAGGGTTAAAAAAAATGCACAGATGAAGGATCAGTCAAGGGTTAAAAGAGAAATCTACAGAAGAAGGATCAGTCAAGGGTTAAGAGAGAAATCTACAAATGAAGGATAAGTCAACGGTTAAAAGAGAAATCTACAGATGAAGGATCAGTCAAGGGTTAAAAGAGAAATCTACAAATGAAGGATAACTCAAGGGTTAAAAGAGAAATCTACAGATGAAGGATAAGTCAAGGGTTAAAAGAGAAAATTACAGAT